CCAGTCTCACCTTTTCCTCCGGGGGTGTTCATTGAATTGACACTGTGGCCGAGCTGGGGGAGAGGAAAGGAGGGAGTACGGGATGATCACAGCCAGCCAAGATGGCGAGGCAACGAGTGGGCTGAGAGGTCGTTTTTCTGCGTTTTTTTTTCTCCACACGTAGTGTTCCTCGCATGATCTCCGCACAGCCGTGAAGTGGCGTATTATGTCCTCGTACACGTTTTCCCAGAGGCTGTTCACGCCGACGCCACCAGAGCGGGGCAGCTTCCCGTTGGACCATGAGGGCCGTTGCAAGAACACCATGATCAAGTACATGCGCTGCTTGGTCGAGAATCGCAATCAGAACACGATGTGCCGCGACGTCGCCAAGGAGTACCTCGGCTGCCGCATGGACCACGAGCTGATGGCGCGCGAGGAATGGTCCAAGCTCGGCTTCGCCGACGAGATCAAGGACACCAAGGAAACGTAACGTCGATATCGTTCTCCGAGAGTAGATTACCCCGAGAAGGAGGGGTCCATCGTTGCCATCGTCGACATCGTTGTCATTGTTACTTGTTCCTCTCTCGAGAGTGCCCGATGCACTTCCTCATCTAATCGGTGCTCTTGGAACTTTCAATGTAAATAAAATGTCAGACAACAGTTCGGCGATTTTAGTGTGTTCAAACAAGAATACGCACTGCCAGGAGTAACAAAGACTTCCTCCACGCGAGTGTGTTGAGAGATAATAACAGTAAAAACAATAGGTTTAAGAGGGAGACCAAGTAAGAAGAGAAAGAAACTGAACAATATTAAAAATTCGCGTATCTATCTTTTATTTTCGTAAGAAGAAAGATTGAAAATTAAGTTATATATAGCTCGACACTTGTTGGATCGGGCTTGTCAAAGCTTTAATGTAAAGGCATCCTCGTAGCTTGTTGTGGCTGAATTGTGTTGCAACCCAAGTGGCCTAAGAGAATAAAAATATTCCATAAATATAATAGAGAGTTCCGATATTTATCACGTTGAAAACTGATAAATTCTATCAGACTTAATACAGATTCATAAGGAACAGGAAATAGAGGTGAAGAAAATGGCAAGCTCCTCTAGGAAGAAAGTATTAGTAGGCTGCACTGGTAGCGTGGCCACGATTAAGCTGCCGCAGTTGGTGGAAATACTGCGACAGAACCATCTGGAGGTCAGAGTAGTCGTGACGGAGAGAGCTAAACACTTTCTGAAGGATGCTCAGCTACCGCCTGAGATCCAGGTCTTATCTGATACAGTGGAGTGGGCAGCCTGGCAGGATCGAGGTGACCCGGTACTGCACATAGACCTGGTGAAATGGGCAGATGTGTTCGTGATAGCGCCGTTGGATGCCAACACCTTGGGCAAGATTGCCAGCGGCATATGCGACAATATTGTTACCTGCGTGGCGCGTGCATGGGACCCTGCAAAGCCGCTCCTCTTCTGTCCAGCTATGAACACCAGGATGTGGGAACATCCGATTACAATGCCTCAAGTGAGATAGTTTTTTGATTGAGTTTTTTTTTTTATAATAAAAATAATCATGAATTGTCATGATGAACAATCATTTTGTGTTTTTTCAGGTATCGCTGCTTAAATCTTGGGGCTACAAAGAAGTGCATTGCGTGTCTAAAACGCTGATGTGCGGCGATACGGGGATGGGTGCGATGGCTGAGGTGGACACGATTGTGCGGTCCACTTTGCGAGCTTTGAACCCCTGGATGGACCAATCGGATTTGTGTCCCTAGCAGCGGCTGAGAGCGGCCTCTTCGTGTGAGTCTCGTCGACGACCTCATGAGTTTCGATGAGGCTCTCTTACGTCGAGAACGCAATATTGAGATCTCCAAAGACGCGCTATGGTGCGATTCGAACATACGCTTAGTAAGATACACGCCAATATCGCTTATCTCTAATAATAAATATCGGGACGAGCCTATAAAGGCCTGGATCTTTGGGAGCTGTATACGTATCATGTGATCACGTGTTTATGTTTATCGATAAAAATATATATAAATAATTCTCGAATTACATTATTTATTGTGAATTTTATTGTTTTATTTTTACATGAACCATGTGAGATAATTGTTAGTTAGAGAAATTTATGTAAGCACTCCGCAGATAGCAAAGTCTGAGTTTGAACGCATCATGGTCGTCGTATTCTTTGCTCAACCTGGAATAAATTAATCATACCGCGAGGAACAAATGAGATAATCGTAATTATATCTGTCCAGTTGCCGCAAAATGCGATATATAAAAATGCTGTATAAAAAAAAGAAAAGATTCTGTTGACATATCCTAAAGTTGATTCAGAATGTACATGCTTTTGTTAAATATATGAACAATATATATGAATGATAAGCATACAAAGTGTATTTCTTTCTCCATTTCTTAGTATTTTTGATAAGAAATATTCTGTAGAATGATAAATATGTTCGGTAAAATCACTTTATTTTCATATATACACAAATAAAGCACGAACTGACAATATATAAAATACGTATACAGCATATAATCAGCACATTACACTAATTTTCCTTTAAGTTTGGAATAAACAAAGAGTTTCTTGGAGGGCTCTCGCATCTCCTGAAATGTGAGATGTATTGTTCGATGCGCTTATTTCGTCATAATAAAGGTAGTCTCAATTAGATGATAAAATCATCAAGTTAAAAGAGAAATATATCATTTATATCCCTCGTCTTCGTTTCGATACTGCGCGCTAGGATATATAGTACATTTCTGCAATATGCGCGACTTATATTTTTATATAATTATATGTAACATGTTTATATATATATATATATATATATATATATATATATATATATATAAAAT